AAATTTTGATTGTTGATTCTGACTTTTCAAACGCACCAAACTTGGTGAGATTCAATAACTTGAACATAGTTCGATGTGGTTTCGTCTTTCGGATTACAAGTTTAAATACATTTTCGATGTCCTAACACTGTTTCTATCGTATATGTAATAAATTTGTATCATATCTTTTTTTGCTTCATTCGTGAAAGCCATTTTTCGCCAAAAATTCAATGACTTGTACAATTACAAAATGTCATTGGGTATAAAATTGAAAGTCAAATTTAGAAACATCAAAGTCAAAGCCTATTATGATAAGAATTAATTTTTTTCAAGATCCCCAATTTTTCGGAAAAGAACGTTAACTTATGATACATTATTGAAAAGGTGAAATCTGGTTCTATTGAAAACAGAAAGAATCCAATGTAGCGCCTATAAGAAAAAATAAAGCTAATGATGGTGGTCGAAAGACGAAACGTCGGATAACAAATCTGAAAACACTATTATATAGCAGGAGAAAAGTGGTAATGTGTAAGTGCAATTTATTTCTAAATTTGTCGAAAAATAAAGCCAGAAAAAATAAAAACCATTTTCAGAAATATCTGTTTTTTCCGGATATCTCCGGATATACTCGGAATTTTAAAACTTTCTCAACGGCATATTGTTAATAGAAAACTTTAGGTGGAAGAGCAAACGTGGGACAGTATGATAATATTGACACACAATCTGAACATCTTTCGAGTTCTTCTATTTGTTACACTCTATTGTGTTGAATTTGAATCGATGAAGATATTTTTTTACCGAAGGTTAAGCTGGTCTTGCCTGTCGCTGAAGCTCTGAGAGACGCGCCAACATCATCAACTAATGACCACTCCCCACACCGTGGGGTGAGTGATCATCGGGTACGAGAAGCATGTGCTCTAAGCAGATGCAATGAGCCAAAGATGACAGATCCTGCATTTGTCCGCCTAAGATTTCTGCCTTAGTACGACAAGCCGGCATGATCATGAGATTTGAGAGTAAAGAGGGTATCGTTCCATCAAGGACTACTCCAACAATGAGGAAAAACATTTCAAGTCAGAGTCTCCGGGCTCGAAGAGAAGATCGCGATATTCCATTTTTTCCTTCTTTTTGGAACTTATTCGCCTCACCCGGAGCTGAAAACCCATGGCCAATATTGTCTTACTGATGTTCAAGGAGTATTATTATTGGCTTGAATCAGACTGGGGATAGGATAGCATCTTGCATCTTGTGTCGGGAACATCTACGGAAACTTTGACAAAATATTCGAACATGCAATCAAAAATTGAAAGACTATTTTTTTGATAAGTGGAATATAATACCTGAAAGTCAATTTGGATTTAAGAAAAAATCGAGTTGAAAGAAAGCAATTCTAGGCTTGATAGAAAGAACGGCTGAAGTCTTTAACGAAAAAAAAATGATTATATCTCATCATAAACAATATCTGGAGGTTCTTGACAATTATTTTCCGGACTTCAGAGAAGGTATTACATAGACGTACTTATGAGAGACTAACTGTCTCTTCCTAAGAGCTCTGGAGCAGGATTTCAAATTGCCGAATAATCAAGTTATACGAAGCATTAAATTGAAAGAAGAGGTTCTACAGAATGGCCACCCAGATTCTTCTATTGAACTGTTTTGAAAGTTCAGATAATTTACGGAAAAAATTACCAGGTGCTGTAGCTCCTCATATTCTTCTGCATATATAAAGAAGAAAATGGTCGTTCATTCATAACATTGTATGTAATTTGACGGTGCTCAGGTCAAACATTCGACCCAGTACATTTTTCTGTTGAATCTAGTTTCTGGTTCGAAACTGAGTACAAATTTGAAAAATAATATGTTTTTCCAACATTGCATGTCGTTGTATTATTAAATATTTCACAGTGTTGGATACAGAATTGAAAGAGCTTCCAAATAGGGTATCACTCAGTCATTATTGTCATTTGAAATGTTTGACGTGATGATTGTTATACGAAGGGATGGCTGACAAGGGCTTGATTTTTTACTTATGTGTCCTCTTGAAACCTTAGTTCGGCATGTTTCACAGTTATTTCATATTCTCGATATCAAATATTGAATGACTTATTCTCAGGGTGGGTTGTTCTTACTAGAATGGACTGTATAGTGAGTATCGAAGGTTGAAATCGGGCTAATATTTTAATTTTTATTTTCGAGCAGGAGCAGATTTATTCCCCATCCATCCAAATATTCGATGCCTTTATCAAAAGCATAAATACTTGTTGGATCAAGATGCGATCATTCAAAATTGTCACTTTGTTTACTTTAGAAATTGAATCATTCCTATAAAATCCACCAAAATTTACCATTCAACAAAATTCAAGTTCCATCGTCTTCATTCTCGCGAAGGGTGCTTCGGAAATAATTAGTATCTTGATTGGAAAGTGCTCAATTATCAAGAAACAAACTTGACCCAATTGAACATAAAATACCAGTTCTTGTTGCAATATCACTTCATTTTTCACCAAGTCTATGCATGCAATTACTTTTTGTCACGTTCAGCGTGTTTATCTTAGCCCTCTTTTCGCAGCGCTACGCCATTGCTGGACACTTCAACGTATGTAAACAACCTAGAGTATTAATTAAAAAAGTTTTACGAGCTCGAAACTGTCGAAGCAGCCTTTTTGATAATACTGCTTTCAAGTTTTGTTGAAGTGTGATTTTTGGGTTTGAATTCTTATACCCCCTTGAAAATATCTTTTGGTTCGTTGTTCTGTATTGTTTCTGAATAAGCACATGTCAATTATATAAATATATTCAACTCTTACTAAAGACGTATTTATTTAACCGATTCAATTCTGTCCCAGTTAGATTACAAAGCAAATTTTGTAGTATCACTATCGTTATTTGAAGTTGCAAGCTCAGCCTATTGCCTTATTTTGAATCTGTTTGAATCTGTTGAAAATCTGTTTTTCCGTTAATCAACTGTCGCCCCCATACGAACGACAACTATCAGAAGTTGAGAAACTTGTACGAGCTAAGGACTAACGAGATTTTACCTTTTAACCTGTGATTCCTAACACGGAGTGATCTTCGCCTAACATGAATCTGAATACTTTCGGAGCTTTTAGGATAGGAGTACTGGTTTTTCGGGGTATTTGATCCGTGTATGTGATATTAAAGAATCAATTTTGAAAGAAGTCTTCAACATCCTCAAACTGCAGTTTGAGGACTGCCTAGAAGATGACAGTACTACTAACTGTCGAAAGCGCTCGCAGATAATTAATAGAAGGTATAAAGTTCAAATCCTTTTTGTAAAATTTAATATTGAGATACTGAAAATATATAGAGGCCTTCCCACAGAGAATTCCGAACTTTGACAGTTGATAACGGCCATCTTGTTAAAGCTACATCTGTCAAATTTTTTGTTAATCATTCAGTCTGTTCTGCCAAATCGCCTTGGATGAATATAGCATTCAACAATACGTGCAATTAAAAAAAACTGTTTTATAAAAATGAGTGTTCTGTTCGGACAACGTACCGCGCGCTTCACTCACTTTACGGTCGCCATAATCGTCCTACCAAGAGGACTATTCGCAATGTGATGGATAAATTTGAGTCCTCTAGTTCAGTAAATGATCGAGCAACACCCGTCCGTTGACGAAACGCAAGTTCTGCCGAATTTATCGTCGCTATCCATGAGAGTGTGCAGAAGAATCCAAAGAATTCGGCCTTTCGCAGCCCACAACTTGGCGAATTTCGCGTAGTGACTTGAGCCTGCATCGGTACCAAATTTCAAGAGAACCAGGAATTGAAGGTAAACGAGCATAGACAACGACGTATGTTCGCTGAATGGAATCTGGCGCAGTTGGCAACTGACCCTTATTTTACAGTTTCTCTCACTAACTATACTTCTTATCAGTTTCACATCAATGCATGCATGAAGATTTTTTTCATTTTGGAGGATTGAAAACACGAAATCAAAATCGCAAACATCCAAGTTGGATTCTGCCGACATTGTTCTTATATACGATGTAATTGGCCGATACTTGATGAAAATTCATAACTAACAAAATCCCAAAACACTTTTTGGTGAGATTTTCACTGAACCATTTCACAATTTGAAGTACCTAAATTTTAAGTACCTGAATTTTCCCTGTCCATTCAATGTTTTATTTGTAGCTGAGTTTGTTATGAATTAAATGACCTGATCTTATGTACTACTTTCCATGTTTGAGTTAGCAGCTTCAGACATCTCAACAATAAAGGCGAAAAATAAAAAGGTATCAATTCATTACAAACTAAAAGGTATACATAAAACATTAAATGGCCAGGTACTTGAAATTTAGGTAGGGTAAATGCGTCTAATCCCAGCCACTTCCAGTGGTCAGCCACCTAGGCATTCTTATTCAAATAATAGGTGAATGAGTAACATAAAATAGTACATTATGAGCTTCTTGAACTCAGCCACCTTTTTGGCGGTAACCGCGTACATGATTCGAATACAACCTTAAACATATATTAACGGCGTGCATGTGAAATATAGTGTGCTGTGTTGGCTGACAATTGGGTAAGAAACCCTAAGATTTTCTCAGTGGTTGAATCCTTCATTATTAAGCTCCAAAGCTTGAACAATAATGAATATAAAAAAGTTTATTTATTTAATCATTGTATAAATGTATATTGAACACGTTTTTAAGCTTTTGAGGTTATAATAGGCGTTTTTCATCGAAATTTCTTGGTGGCTGAGAACTGGTTAAAAAAATTGGCAGAATTCCTAAAGACAGCCAGGCGGCTGACTTTAGGAAGGATGATGAAAATTTCAAATATGAACCCTATGCATGATAAGAATACAGGCGTCTCCCCTTTGCATAGTGTGTATCAAAATCATTGATTATTTCAAATTTTACCAGTACTCAGCCCCATAAAACTTCTACAGGTCAGTTGATAGCTGACTCCAGGTCACAATATTCCAGTTCTCAGCCACCTGACACCTACAAACTGCAAAGTGTTCATTTTTATATTTTTCCTTAACCAGAAAAATGGACAGGTACAGAAGTCACGAGGTGCATAACTATCCAGAAGAATCGCTCAAGAACGCTCTACATGCTATTCGTGTAAATAATTTGGGGATAAGAGAGGCCAGTAGAAAATATGGTGTACCCCGTGGTACCATACAAGATAGGCTGCATGGAAGGGTTAAAGAGGGACCACGGAAAATGGGACCCAGCAAGGTTCTAACTGGTAAAGAAGAAGACGAACTGCTTACCTGGCTACTAGAGTTAGAAAAATGTGGTTTTCCACAGAGGAAACAAGATCTCCTTAATGTAGTTGAGGAAATTGTTAGTAAAGATGAGAGAAAAAACCCTTTCAAAAATAATAAACCTGAAGAAACGTGGTACCAATCTTTCCTGAAGAGGCATAAAAATATAGCATTACGGAAAGCTGAAGGACTTTCAAAATCAAGGGCCATTATCACTGAAGAATCTATAAGAAAATGGTTCCGGGAATTCACCTCCAAAGTGCTGAAGCATCTGATATTTTAACGGATGGGTCACGCATTTTCAATGGTGATGAAATTGGCTTCGCGATGTGCCCAAAATCTGGGAAAGTTTTAGCTCCGAAAGGCTACAAAAATGTTTACGAAATCAGAAGAGGTAGTGAAAAAGAGGCCATCACCGTATTATTGGTTTTCTCGGAAGACGGAAAAACTGTGTCCCCAATGGTTGTCTTTCCATTTGTGAGGCCTAACAAAGCTATAGTGGATAGTGTTCCATCAGAATGGTTCATAGGTCGATCAGAGAGTGGTTGGATGAAGAGTGACACTTTCTTTGACAACAAGTGGGTTATCGATAACCACGTAAAGAAGCCAATTTTGCTTCTGGTCGATGGCCATAAATCACACTTATCATTGGAACTCAGTACGTTTTGTAGTGATAATCAAATAATTTTATACGCGCTTCCTCCTAATACTACCCATATTCTGCAGCCCGCTGATGTTAGCGTATTCAAGCCACTGAAATCAAATTGGAAAAAACAGTACGGGCATGGCAATCCCCAGAATCTCAATTGTGTGCTGACTAAATCCACTTTTTGTCCGATGTTGAGAGATGTTCTTAATGACAAATCTCTTCCACAGGCTATCAAGAACGGGTTCAGAAAGTGTGGACTTTTCCCATTCGATCCGGAAGCAGTAGACTTTTCGAAGTGCGTCCAGAACCACTTGGAAAATTTGAGTGATACAGCAGATCAGGAATTTGTAGTCACAGAAGACAAATTCAACATTACAGAAAATGTTCTATCTTCTATGACACATAAACTGTTCGAGAAGGGTGTAGAAAATATTATAAACGATATCGAACAATTAAAATTAATAAAGGAGGAATATTCCAAAACATCTCAGGAGAAAACTACCACGAAAACAAATAATTTAATTGCCTTGACCTCGGCAACCCCACCGCATGATTTTATGATCTTCGACTTTGAAGAATTTATGGCTAACGATTTTTTTAACGAGAAAGCGCCAAATGAGAATGAAGTTGCTCCAAAAATAGTAATATTAGAAAATATTACAGTATTACCTAGCAATTCTGAGAGCAAGAATCTGTTATAATGCCACTGGTTCAGAATCTGGAAGAGATTATTGAAATAGGTGAACATGAAATCCAGGCTGAAAACAATAATGAAATATTAATTAATCAGAATGAATGTGAACAGTCTGATCATAGTAACAGTACAACTGAAGCTTCAAGCAACGTATCTTTTACACAGAAAATTCTTGTTTCAGTAATGGTTCATAATTCAGCAGATTTTGATGAACTGATAGCAAATTCAGGAACTGAGAAGCCTGTACCAATCAACCAGCCAAAAACAATAAAAATGAAATGTTGTAATTTTCATAATGGGAACGACCTAAATGAAATCAACACATATGTGGAAGAAGATGATAGAGCAGCTGAAACAAATGGTAGTGAAACTATCGAAGCTGAAGACAAGTTAAGAGATAATATAAATGTTGTTTCCGGAAATGATCATATTTTGAAAGATGTCACAAATCTATTAACTAATCGAAATACAAGTCCGATTACAAATGAATTATCTCATTCAATAAAAACCCACCTGTTTTATCCCAGCGCCATAGCATCAACGAAGACACGGACACCCAAGTCGACCAAAGAAAAATTACCAGCTGCAATTTCGTCGGAAAAATTTCGCAAGCATCTCCAAGAAAAAATTGATAAAGAAGAAAAATTCGAAAATGAGAAGAAAAAGAAAAGAGAAGAAAGAATTAAGAAAAATAGTGAAAAAAAGCAGCAAATTCTGAAAAGGAAAAGAATTAAGGACAACAGTTCAAACCAACCAGCCAAATAAAAGGCCAATAACAAACAGTCAGCTATAGAGATGGGTAGAAAAATGAATGATTCAAAAATTAAGAAGAGAAAAGAAGTATGTGCGAACTGCAATTTAGAACTAGATAGTGATACTGAAATTAATGATGAAAGGCTGTGACATATGCCCCAAATGGTACCATTTGAAATGTACCACATTTGAAGGTACCATTTACAGTGATATTGAGAATAGTGATTTCATTTGTAAATATTGTTGATTTTTTCCTAAGTTTTAAATAGTGATCTATGATTTTATTTATTTTGTGTTGATGCTGTCGCATATTTTTTCAATGCAAATGTTTAGATTTACAGTTAGGTATACTGAGAATAGTGATTTCATTTTAAAAATAAGTTTTTTTTTCAAGTAAATGTTCCATCCAAATACCTACTATAGGTATATCATTCCACCCTTCAGTAATTGAGGCTGACAACTGGATGCGTGGTGGCTGAAATTAGAATCTTAACGGCTGACTAGAGGATTTTTCGAGTATTTTCAGAAAAAGTTCAATATCAATTTTAATGTAGTGAATTGATAAAAAGTATATTATCTATCTAACAAAGAAAACTATGTAGAATTTTCGGTAACTTTCCTTCGAGTTTTATTTTTTATCTTGATCTCGAAATGAGATGTTGCTCAAATGGCTGACTACTGGCTAATCTACCCTACTTCAAATTGTAAAACTTGGTAGATAAAACATTGAATATTTAGAATTTAGTTAGTAAAGACACGCCCGAAAAACTGTCTAGTGAAAATCTCACTATAAAGATTTTCTGAATAGGACATTGTTCTTTTTATCAGTAATTTCCTCGAATTATACGAGTATACTTCACTTCCCGTTTTTCAATGAAACAAATAAATTACCTCCTCATGAATTACATCACATTGAAAATAGGAGATAAACTTTTTCATGTTTCTGATGAAGTGATATCGATAGTAATCATCATTAACTCGTTTCTCAAATCCCACTCGAAACTTTTGACTTAAGAAAAGCCTGCTCTCTAGTGAAAGATGGATTGATGGAAGATGAAATGAATAGGTTGATTATACTAACATATTCATTTCATTCGTGGGCACTAAAAGATATTATCAAAAAAATACAGTTTTCCAAATAAAAACATGCACATAATGACTACAAAAATGTTCATCAAAAAAAAGATAATTTTGAGTTGGTATTACCTGCCACTCAATACCTCGAATGCATTTGCTGGAATAAGTGATATTTTCAGGGCTTGGGATCGAAAGCACATCACGGAAATTATTTTGGAAGACTATGGCAAAACTGAATTTTTGGACTAGTAGTCAAATTGAATCGATACTCAAATTCATGTTGAGTTATTTGGAAAACCGTCGGCAGCAAACGCTGAATGTTGGAATTGCCTCTAAGAGTCAGAACACAAAAGTGTTGCACAACGTAGCATTCTTGGCTATTTATGACATATACGGCAGAATTTTGAAAATATTTTCAAAGGAGTCATCAGTACGTCGAAGACATCAACTTCATGAATATTTCTAAACTTTTGAATAGAAACCTATTTGTGCAGCAATAATTTCTGATCCCAATTATATCTTTCACTTTTCAATCGCACAATCCCCTTCTGCATGAGTCTATAAAACATCCATATTTGAACACATAAAATAGTAAAAGTAAACTAGAGGTATCAAGTGGATGTAAGAACCTGGGTGTTCATTTTGAAAAGATTCAAAAATCAACAAGCACGTGAACAACTTATTTCGCAAATACTATGCGACAGTGAAAACAATGTACACGCAAAATGATACTTTGAATACTGAAATAAACCTCAAAGTTTGCTAATTACTTATTTTTGCCTGCTCATTGTGAAATAGTCTACTGGACTGGTTCGAATGGTTCAGTATTGCAGTGCAAAACTTTTACATTAGAATATTCTTTAATATTAGAAAATTTAATCATATTAGTGAATGATTCGAGAAATTCAAAAGGTTATAATCCAAAAGTGGTTTAATATTGCAACTTGCATCTTTCACATATGGGATGCGACATTTTTTTTTAAAGCTAAAGAGAAATGAATGCTGTTTCCTCAAATCAAAATATTTCGTTCGAAAAATTATTTTCATACAATTCTGCGAATGTGCGTGTCTCTCTGCATAACTGTTTTCAAAAGATATGTCAAACATATTTGTTTGATGTTTCATTCACACTTTTTTGCGAATGCTTGTTCTCTACGTACGTAACATTGGGGGTTGCATAGAAGAGCAACTTGGTTGAATGCCGACTCCTTGATTGATATTATTTATTTATTTGTACTTATTTCGGAATGAAACACATTATTATTTTAATAATCATTATTTAAAAATTAAGTTATCCTGCCGCGTCTGCCTCATAGCCTGATTCAAATGCGAACAGAAAAGCTGGCAATGGCATGGTTTATCTTACAATACCCGTTGTCTGAAAAAAGGTCACACACAATGTGATAACTGAAAATCAATTTAGACGACTACGATATCAATCATATCAAATATGTTATTCAAAAAGTGTAAATTCTCATAGCCCGCAGGGAATAACGTCGATGATAAAAAATGAGCGAACAGAGCTGTTATTTCTGTTGGAAATACTTCGGCAATTACACGTATAGTGTTTTCAACCAGAAGCATCGTGTACAAGAAGACCACGTCAAAACCAGTATGAGTTTCATTAGTTCGGACTTCGATTGTGTAATATGATATGAATTGATTTCAAATATCTGAAAGAATCTGTATAGAATTAAAAAATAGGTTAGCTGAAAAATAACTATTATATCAAGCAGAAAAACTGGAATTACAATGAAATAAAATACAAGCAACAACCAAAAAATACAAAAAAAATTAAACAGTCAACACGAGACGAAAATTAAAAATTATCAAGAAGAGATGAAAATTAAAAATTGGAAAGGTTCCAAACCAAGTTAATTCACGACGTTTCGATTGTTAGTATGCACAATCGTCTTCGGGTGATAACTCTATTGTGGAAACGTGGATTTCGGACGATTGTGGATACTAACAATCGAAATGTCGTGTAGTAACTTGTTTTGGAAACTTTTAATTTTATTTTTCATTACTTGTAAATAATTTTCCAATTTTCATCTCGTGTTTCATCATAGTTCAAGTTTCTGGTTGTTGCTTGTAACTCATTTCATTGTAATTTTTGTTTTTTTTTGCTCAATTTAATTGTTTTTTCAGCTAACTTTTTAATTTTTTACATATTCTTTCAGGGATTTCAAATCAATTTATATCATATTAGACAATGGAAGTCCAAACTAATGAAACGCACCAAGAAACATTGTCAACTACCTTCAAACAAACGTTACTAGTATGTATTATGGATTCGACTTCATACTTCCAATCTTCTCGATGAAATGTCACGAGTCCTTGATAAATAATTCTGTTTTTCCTTTGAGCGGCTATAATAGGATCCGCAAGTATTTGGTCACTTCATGAATAGATGAACCTAGTGCATTCACGATAGGTCTCAGAGGCACATTCTTCATGTTTTTGTTGGACTTGATCGGTTGAGAAAGTTCATTTTTCTCAACATCTTGACGGTAGGATCGCCACTTATTCTTTTAAAAGTCCCTGGATAATGAAAGGCAAAAATTTTCTCTTTGCTATCCTTGGTGTTCATTACGACGGTGATGCCACTATCGATATTGAGATTTTCCAGCGCATCTCTTTCTTGCCTTGTATTTGTCTTGGGTTAGTCTACTTTCCGATGCGAATCTCCTCAGCAATGTCATCAAGCGAAGTACGAATACCTGATTCCACATTCACAATGATATCCTTATGGTTACCTTGGATGCAGATACAGCGTTTCCAGCTTATGCCGCTGTATCTTCAATTGGAGATATAGCGAGATATGCTAAACTTATCCGATCGGAAATGTTCATCACTGTTTTTCTGTTACACTGTGGCGAAGGATTTCTTTAGCTCTCACTCCGTCTCTACCATGAGTCTGTCAGTTTTGACTCAATCGATTTAACGATAGTGAGGTGCATCAGTTATTTGTCCTTATAATAAAGCTCCGCGATGGATTTGATTCAATGCAGTGTTCATGCTCGAAAGATGGTTTCGACAGACCAAACAAAACAAACTTACAGTTACCTTCGATAAAACGAAATACTTATCATTTACGTCATACCTCAATAGATTGCCTGATTAACTTCATAAGTTCGGACTTTCATTGTCATCGCCCGGAAATGACTGTAGATACTA